TGGGCACTCTCTAGAGTCACTTAAGTGTTTAAATTCCTCTTTTTATTACTCCAACAATATCACAAGCCCCATATAGGCTGGCATGGAGGGGCCTTGGCCCCTTCAAGGCAAAGGCTTAGCAAAGATTTCATCTTGTTCAAAGGCAGTAGAAGGGCACTGACCACAGACAGAATTGCAGACAGATTTCTTCATTTGTTGGTCCCCATCTACCAGCATGATGTATTATACCATTGTGTCATGTCTGATGGGGGCAGCTATCAAGTAAATGCACTATATACAAATCGGAATGAATCCCAGTTGCCATGAATGGCAGAGAATCAGCATCTCTACTGTGGCTCATTCTCAGAGGCTCCTGGACCAGCCCTAAAGGGGCATGCTTTAACAGTGGCTTTAGGCAGCTAAACCTAAAGTCACTGAGAATGAACGTAGTGTCAAGTCCTCCTAGAAACAAGAACAGCTAACATTTATCCACATTTGCTAGTGCCAAGCTCTAAGTGCATGAGACTTATGCGCTCATTTATTTAATCCTCATATCAACTCTATGAAAGGGGAAGGGTTAACATTCTCACTTTGCAAATAGGGAAAAGGAGGCAGAGATACCCAGAGTTACCCAGCCAGTACCTGGTGAAGCCAGGATTTGAACTCAGGAAATCTGTTTGGGAGCCCACAGCATGAATCATAACACTCGCTGTGTTCACTTTAAAGAGCTATGGCTTATAGTCTTGGTTCTAACTCCTGAGTTCCCTCCTCCCTCCTTCCCTCTCTCACTTCCTTCCCAGCTTCTCTCATTTCATTCTTTCCTTCATTCTTTCCCTTTCCTTTCATTCTTTGAGTAAAGTACTTCGTGGAGGCCCGATCTTTACCACATAGAAGGCTGGGGCTGGTTTTGTTGCAACAGGAGTAATATGGGGACAAGGGGTGGTATTAAGGACCAACTCCAGCCCCATAGCCACTGCTGTCACACCCCTTGGTATGCTAAGGGTCCTGGGAACCACAGTTTGAAATCACCACACTGTGTCGTCTTTAGGGCCGGCGTCTTCCACCTCAAATCACAGCACTTCTATGAAATGCTGCCTTCAGAATATGGAAATACCCTTTCCCTAAGCCAGAGACAGCAAACAGACAGCCAGCAGAGAGGTTGTCTGAGCCACATCATGGCTAAAAGGTTCAAGTTCTTGTGTTTAAAAATCCAGGGATTTTATAGAAAATCTCCAGATTCCCAGCTTCTCTAGAAAAATCTTTCACCATCCAGCACACTGGCATGGCTTCCCATATGGCAGCCATTGACAGGAGCGAAGTGATTTTCCCATCTAGACGAACAAAGAGGGACCCCAGGCACCATAAGGCTTTCGCCCCTCATCTCCACAAAACTCTGAGGTTTCAAAATATAGTTTAATTTACTTTAATTTGGATATATCACATTACGCAGTTTTTAGAGACAAAAAAGATAAAGGCCGTGTGGGAATGAGACAGAGCAGGAAGTGGCATGGTCGCCCAGAAGTAAACAAATAGGAAAGTCGATTCTGCGTCTTCCCAGAGGAATTCCTTCTCTTAAGTCAGGATGTTTAATCCTGGGGCCTTCCCGGGGTTCATCTCTCTGTTGGGTTACACTTGTCTAGCTTTTTCTCTCACACACATTCCCGGGGTCCCTGTGGACACAGAACAGCTTCCTCTCCTCGTCTGAGGTCTCCAGCTCCCTGCAAGACTGAGGTCAAGATTCTAAACGGGCATGTGCCCCCAGTGCACCCCGCACTCGTCCTGATGTCACTCTCACCCAGAATTCTGCAAGCTCTGTGAAAAACTAGAATTTTCCACAAATGGTGAAATTTTTATTCTTTTCTATCCTGAAACCAAGATTAAGTTTTGTTGGTTCACAAGTGGTGGGAGTCTGGGTGGGGGCTGTGCCATGTTTCGAATGGCCGCCTGCCCAGTCACTGCCTTCTACCCACTGGTGAAGGCCGAGTAGATGCAAACACACTCCCTGGATGCAGAAATATGAAAAAGTCTCTGTTCTGGCACTTGTGTAAAATAGGAACCATAATTACCACCATAAAGGTTTTTATTGAGATTTGCAATAATATATGCGTGGAACCTGGTCCACTGCCTGGTACATAGGGGACATTTCATACACAATAGCTTGTTGTCTTTATTCTTCTGTAAACTTGAGCAGAATACCCTAGAAGGTAACCCCATTGCTCACAAAAATCAGATAACATAATTATATCTTTCAAAGCCAGAAAGAAAAACTCCACTTCTCTTTTCTCTTGTCTGGCATTCCACCATTCTTAACGCCCTTCTTCAGCATAATTGCAATGGTGGAGGACGCAGCTCAAGGATGAGAAGTTGCACTGGCCCCTTCTGCACATCAGCTCCTCCCTGGACAATGGGAATGCATTGTTTCAATTTTCTAGATGATAAAACTGAGTCTCAGAGAGGTGATGTGAGCTGTTGTGATGCTCAAGAAAGAATTTTAGGGGAGAATGAAGATGGGGTAGGTTGAAGGCACACTGCAAACTCTTGAGTGTTGTACCAGTGTAGGCATCTCTTTGGGGCGATGATAGGTCTTGGGACAACTGGATCCAGGACTAAGGAAAGTGAATTGTTTGCTGAAGAGAGTCCATCAGATAGCCAAGCAGCTACTGGACATCTCCTGCATGCTCAGCCAGTACCCAGCTCTGTATAGATAAGGAGATGCCAAGGCCGGGTGTTCTTGCTAAGAGGACAAGATTAAACCCCCTGAAATGAAAGAGTGTCTGTCACCCAGTGAAGAGAGAGGCTGGGCCGGAGCATGCAGGAAGGATTTCCAGAAGTCGAATTGAGCAGGCTTACATCCCTGCGGGTCTTAGCTGCTGGACCAAGGACACGTCTCTTAGTTTGGAAACACTCCAGACCCCAGACACTTCTCCCTCATTTTCCAAGGCAAATAATTCACTCTTGAGATTGCACAGACCATGGCTTGATGTTCCAGATGCTGGATTTATTTTCCCTACCAGAGGGATAGCCAGCTTCTTATAAAACGTAATTCTCTGGACCCCTCTTCCAGCCCAGAGAACGTAAGGGAGATTCACGGTTCCCAGAACTTTGGTTGGTACAGCAACCTTCCCGTTACCTCCTGCCCCAGCCTCTGAGCAGGGCTGAGGGTGATGGGATGGGGAATTAGTGTTCTGGCTTTTGAGCTAACCCCAAAGACTGAGTGGGTGCATCTTTAACTGATTATCCCCCCAGCAAAGGGCAGTGTTTCTCCACCACTCTTCGCAGTGGTGCCAGCACATGCTTGGTTGCAGTTTTTAAGCGTATTTGGTGTTTCTTTCTTGCTGTCCTATGGAAAATCCCCCTCAATTCACCTGTAGCTTTCCCGGCGGGTGCCAGCTGAGATATCGCTAACAGTTGACCCACCACTTACAGCAATACTTAGCATATAGCCAAGTATTAGAGGCACCTCATCCTGGCTTCAACATATCACCAGAATCCTGGCCTACCCTACAAGCCCAGCGGTGTGCCTGGAAAGCCCTTTCTTCCTATTTCCACCAATATCAATTCTTTTGATTCAACGGCTCCAGAAAGCTTCTCAAGCTTTCCCTCCCTGACCTCCTAATACAAGTGCTGGCAGACTTTTTCTGAAAAGGTCCAGATAATAAATCCTTTAGGCTCTGCAGGCTACACCTTACCTGACAGAATTACTCAACCATGTTCTTGTAACACGAAACACAAACAAGTGGCCAGGGCCGTGCGTTCCAATGAAACTATTTACCAAAACAGGCAGCAGGCCAGACTTGGCTCCCGGCCTAGTTGCCGACCCCTGTCCTAGAGAAACTCGCCTGGTGTCTTGTGATTTCTTACTTGACCACCAACTATCTAGAGGAGAATGCCGTCCAGAGCACAGGACTGGAAATCAGGAGATGCTGCCTTCCGTTTGACTCTGCCCCTAACTAGCTGTGTGGTTGTGAGCAAGCCATTTCCCTTTCCAGGCCTTAATTTCATCATCTAAAAAATGAGGAGTATGTACTGCCAGTGGTTCCCAAAGAAACAGAATTGCTGGGGCAATCTTGCTAAATATACATACATCTGAGCCACTTCAGATTTAGGGTGTTGGTCAGAATTCTTAGTTGCAGACAACAGAGTCCCTTTAGCTAACTAGTCCCTCTGAGCAGAAGACGTTTCATTAAAGGACAGGAGGCAATTCAGAGAATCTCTGGAGAGCCGTTGAATTGAATTTATTTACTACACAGCTAGGGATAAGGCAGCCAGGGATAAAACACAGACGAGAAAAATGACCAACCCTGCAGGGGACTTTTGCAGTGGCAGCATTACTGGTAGCCACTTGGCATGATGACCTGAGGGCCTGGATGCATGAAAGGCCAGCACAGCCGCCCCGGAAGAACCAGGAACACGATGCTTGCCAGAAAATCCAAACTCCCTTCCCAGATGCTGCTTCATAACCCACCTCTCCATCTAAGTCCCAAATGAGTGAGCCTGACTGGTGCAAGTTCTGCTTTGAGTCTCCATCTAGCTGCAGGGGAGTCTGGAAATGCTGTTTTATGCTTCTCAGCCTCCCTAGGGCAGGAGGATAAGCTAGGAGGGGATTGAAAGATGGCGAGTGAGTTGCCTAAAGCATCTGCCACATCTGTGAAATGGAACTTAAAGGGGGTCCATTTAGTTCAAAGCTCATCCAGGTTCATACTGCGAGGACGAAGCCAGGTGGGTTAACTCATTGTCTGAAGAGCTGGTAAACACCAATCCCAGAGACTCATCAGTGCGTACACTGGTTAATGCTCAAAGCTGAAGACTCTGCCCAGATCCTTAACTTGTGGGTGCTGCTCCGTGCCAGCTGCCCAGGCCCCTATCTTGTAGTTGGTGCCATGTCCCAGGTGCATTCCCTGAAAGATGTTTTCTTTGTCCTTATGGTCTAGTCACAGTTGTGAGGAGGAGGGCCAAAGGGAGAGAAGGGTCCTTCTACCGAACAGAGTCAGCTTAAACCATTTTCTTTTGCTCCCCTCCAGAAGCAGCGGTTTATTCAACGAGGTTGTGCAGATGAACTTTGAAATAGCCAGCTTCAGCAGCCTCTCGGGGACCCAGCCCATCACCTGGCAGGTTGAATACCCACGGAAGGGAACCACAGACATCGCCGTGTCTGAGATCTTCATCAGCCAGAAGGACCTGGTTGGCATCGTTCCCTTAGCCATGGTAAGCTCGTGTGGTCACGGGTGCGCCTGTATTCAACTGTCTGGTTGCATCCTTGTGTCCTTCCTATCTGTCTCAGGATGTTTGCCCCAATTGTTTTATGGGATGTTGACATTAAAAGTGTCCCATCTTCCTCCTCCCTGGAATTTGCTACATTTCATTAATCCAGCCTTTGTCAATTTGTTATTTTCGTACCAGCTTCATGATATTTGCCATATCCCTATACCAAGTGTTTATTATTTACTTACTTTTTATGCTCTAAGTCTATTCCAGTTCTTTTTTTTCAGTTCCTTTTTTATAAGGAAACTTTAGGCCACCATGTGTATTAGTCAGGATAAGTATGTTATGCTGCTGCAACAAATAACCCCAAAATCTCAGGTGCCTAATGCAATGTAAGTTATTCTTGCTTACACTACATGGCTTAAACGGTGGGGGCTCTGTTCCATGCGGTCCCTCAGGGACCTAGACTGATGGACCCCTCATCATCTTGTAGCTGTAGCATCAGGAACACGTGGTCGTCTTGGTCACCATGACAGAGGAACAGACAGTTGGAGAGTTACATGCAGGCTCTTCTAAGAAATGGCCTAGAAGTGACACATGACACTTCCACATACATCTTCTTGGTCAGAAGGAGTCTCGTGGCCTCGTCAGATTTCAAGAGGGCTGGGAAAGCTGGATGCAGAGGAGGAGTTGGATGAACACCATGGTCTCTGCCTCACAACACTGTTAAGTCAGCATATCGTTGACACAAATAGAACACAGCACAAATACAGTATATCAATCCTGTGTTACTAACTTCTAGCTAGACCCTGTGGAGCTGGATATGAGCAGGGAACAGAGAGAATGGTAAGAAGCTAGTCTGTAACTTTACCCTCTGGTCACTCACTCACATAGGCCATGCCCTGGGTCTGTTCTCCAGGCCATTCCTATGCTTGTGCACAAGTGTAAAGACCCCCTACTGGGAGATGCACAGAGCATGGAGTGTCAGAGGCACGTGAAAAGTGTTTTGAAGTGTCTTTGCCAGAATTCTCCCCCACAGGATGGAGCCTGGCGTGGATATTCTACACTTAATTTCTGTTCAGCTTTGGAATAAGCAGGCTTCATTGCCACTGGGTTGAGAAATATATAAATTAGGATTCTTGGGGCTGCATGTGACAGAAAACCCAACCCAAACTGGCTTAAGGGCAAACAAGAATTCACTGGCTTGTGTAACTGAAAGTCCAGGACGCGTCCTGGCTTCATGTCCACCTGGTGGGGACCCATTTCCCTCTGTCTCCTGGCTTCACTCTCAGTCTACTCAAGATGGCAAGGTGGCAACCGATGCTCCTGCCAGATGGCTCAAGCTTCAAGCCCAGGGGGAGCACTTGGCTCATTTCCAGAACCCTGACAGAGGTGTGATTGCCACGCACTGTTCTTATGGGTCATGTCGCCTACCCACAGCAATCACGGGGGCAGGAAGGGCAAACCCCTGGGGCTTGGGATGGATGGGGACAGACGCTGTCAGTGCCCTACCCATATCCTCTCACCTTCCACTTCAGCGCACACCTGCCATCTTCCACTGAAGCACCAGCACATTTTTGCCTGAGAATTTTATCTCCCTTTCAAAGCCCTCTTTCCCACCTGCAAAGCAGGACAGAAGCACCAAGGAATCAGCACACCCCATCCAAGAAGCGTCCCCAGCCAGTCGCTCGCTGGAGTCAGCATATAATCCTTCCAGCTCCCTCGGCCCTGCCCTGGGTTGACTGGGAGGCATGAGTTCCACACAGCACCTGAATCTCCCCAGCGGGGTTAAGCTCCAGTCACACAGTGGTTACTCGCTGAATCACGCACACTCTGCTGCTCTGTCCCCCACCCTGTCTCACTTCCCCACTCCCTTGCTGGAGTTGCCTGCACCTCCCAATACACCACTTGCCATGGAGTCCTTGTCTCGTAGTACGCCTCTGGGAAAACCCAAACTGAGACATCCATCGACCCCACAAACCACAGGAGCTTGTGAGGAGAGGAGGGAGGTTTCCCAAAGGATAGTTCAGGGTGGCTTCACCGGAAAAGGTGTGAATGGACCCCGGGCAGCAGACACAGCAGATGGACCCTCCTTCACCTGACGTGCAAGGAGCTGGAAATGTCCCATTCAAATAAGGAAGCCACTCGATACAGCAGGGATCTGCAGACTCTGACCCTGGGGTCAGACCAGCCTGTGCTTGTTTCTGTAAGTAGTTTTATTGGAACACAGCCACGCCCAATCATTTATGAATTGGCCTCTTTTCGCTCCACAGAGGGAGAGCTGAGTAGTTGCCATAGGTACTGTATGGTCCACAACGCCTAAAATATTTACTCTCAGCCCTTTGCAGAAAAAGCTTACCAACTTCTGCTATAGAAGAACTAAAAGAGTATTTCTCGACCCTGGCTGTACGTTGAATCATCTAGGAGGGTTTTAGAAATTACTGTTGTTTGGGCCCCACTCTTGACAAATTAAATGAGGGTGGGCGGAGGCGGACACTGAGCACCAGTGATTTTCAGAAGCTCCTTGGCTGGTTCCACTGGGCGGCCAGGGTTGGAAACTGAGTAGCACCAATGCACTCGCTCTGACTTACGCTGTTGTTACTCTTGCATTTCTGTTATTAGCCTGCACTGATGAGAACTTGTCAGCAAACACGCTGCTTGACTGAATTGCATTATGGATTACGGGAAATAGATCAATCAGATCTCATTGGGTTATAAAGGCTACAAACCCAACCCAATCCAACTTAAACTTGGCTCATGTAACTTAAAAAGTCTAGAAAAGTGTTTGTCAGACTTTAATGTGCTTACAGATCACCTGAAGATTTTTCTTAGGTGTAGATTCTCATTTAGGAGGTCTGGGTTGGGTATTTTTAAAAGATCCTGAGTTATGCCAATGCTGCTGGTCTGTAGACCGTAAGCTAAGTACCAAGGATCCAGGTGTGCAAATGACATCATCACGGAAGGTGGCTTCTCTTCTTCTTTCATCTCTGTGTTCCTCGTGGTTAGAGTCACTATCCAGGAGACTCTGTCCCCAAGGTGGCCCCTGGCAGTGCCGTGCTGATATTCTCACAGCCCATGTCTGGCAGGCAGAGGGAAAGCCTCATTGCCAATCACTCAAGCAAATCTCCTGGGACTGCTCTGATTAGAACTGATTGGCTTGGCCTGGGTCATGCGCCCAAACAGAGGCCAATCACTGAAGCCAAATGGATGAGATGCTCTGATTGGCCAGGGCTGGGGACCATGTCCCCCCAGAGAAGGTGTGGAGTCAGACTGAGAGCTGCTGGGCATGGTGCATGATGGGAAAATCTGGCTTCCACTGAAAGAGTGGGGGATGGATGCTGGTCAGACACAAGCAACAGATGTCCACCACAGAAGCTAGTATCTACCACAAGGATGTGTTGTTACTTTGAGGTTGGAGAATGTTTCCTCTTGCCTTTTCCTGTCCTAGAATAGGTGTCAACAATCTATAGCCCACAGGCTGAATCCATTCTGCAGCTGTTTTTGTACACCATGCAAGCTGAGAATGTTTTTTGCATTTTCAAATAGCTACATTTTAAATGGTTATATAAGTAGCTTCTTAATATCCTCAGTTTTGCCTCTTGACTGGCAAACCCTAAAACACTTTCTATTTGGCCTTTTAGAGAGAATGTTTGCTGGCCCATGTCATAAAACATCAGCATCAGTTCTAGGGCATCAGTTCCTAGTTCCTGTCCTACCTATTTCAAAAGGATAAGACATTTGGATTCTGTGAAAAGTAAAATCATTATAAGGATATGAGATATTTTGGCCACACTTTTCAAGGGACCACAAGAGAGCCCTCTTTGAAGCAAGGTATTATTATTGTGGTTATTGTGTTTTTGTAACGCCTAGGGTAAAATGAAATGGCTACTTATGTCCTACCAGAATCCTTTTGTTTGTAAGTAACTGTAAGTGGATTCAAACTGGCTTCATCCAAAAGGTCATTGATTAGCTCCCATCTCTGCATGGGGCCGAGATCGCGAGTCTGAGCGCTGGATTTAGGTGCTCACGTGATATCATCATTTTGCATCCCCTGGAACGGACAATTTGACCTCAACTCTGCAAAGCAAGGTGGAAAATTAGGAACTACACTAAAAGGTAGACAATAATTGAGGTGGTTTAAAGGAACTTCTATTCTCTTATTTTCTGTATTTTCAAAGTTTTTTCTAGAATGAGCTTCCATACATTTATAAGCAGCCAAAACGTAAACTTTTATTGGAAGTAAGTAGCAAATAATAGTGCAGTTTGACTAGGAGGTGAGAAAATGAAAGAAAAAAACTGAGCAAGAAGGAAATCCTTATGTTACCTGTTAGCAGCCCTTGCTTCAAATGGTTACATCCTTGAAGAAATTAAGTCCCCCAGTTGTTGCTCATTCTAAAGAAAAGCAAACTTCAGAGACATAAGACAGAGGATTATCAGATTGGGGAAGTTCTCACCTTAAAATCAGGGCTTCTCGAACCCCTTCCTAAGTCCAGGGAGAAAGCCGTGAATCCAGCGATTCCTCAGCAGTGCTACCTGTCTCTCAGCCGCAGCTTCTATCTCCCACGGAGTAAGTGAGATGGACCGAGCAGAGGGAAGTGGCCTAACTCTCCCATAAAGTGACCCGTCGAGGCAGGAGCCACCTGAATCACACTGCCCCCTCGGCACCATTCTATGCGGAGAATATCAACCCACAAAGCCGCCATCGCTCATCCCCTTCCAGGCTGGTGCGGAGGCAGGCAAGCTCCCGGTTTCAGCTCTCGGACTTTCATGCATCTCCCTCCCTCCCGTCCCTGCCCCCTGCCCGGTGCCCTCACTGCCCCCACTTTAGGCTGGGTGGGGAGAGGAAAGGGTCTGGCTGAGAGGACCAAGGGCTGTCCAGGGCAGCTGGTGAGCAGAACAGACTACGAGATGAAGGAGCATCTTCAGTTCTTGGCGTTCAGTTCTTCTTTGACCTAAGAAAAAAGTATTCACATCACAGGCTGAAACCCCACGATCAGCGGCCG